TAAAGCCCATGGGACCTTCATTTGCTGATGGGGCACAACTAAAAAGGAAGAGAAACAGCTATAAACATCCATTAATAATCGGAACATGGAATGTACAAAGTATGAATTTAGGAAATTTGGAAACTGTCAAAAATGAAATGGAGTGCATAAACATCGGTATTTTAGGCACTAGTGAGCTGAAATGGACTGATACTGGCTATTTTGAATCTGACAACCACATGGTTTACGATGCCAGGAATGACAAATTGAAGAGGAATGGTGTTGCATTCACTGTCAAAAAGAACATAACCAGATCAGTCATGAGGTACAACGCTGTCTGTGATAGGATAATATCCATGTGCCTAAAGGGAAGCCCAGTTAAAACCACCAGTATTCAAATTTATGTACCAATTACTAAAGCCAGTGAGGATGAAATAGAAGAATTCTACCAACATTTTCAATGTGAAATTGATCAAACATGCAATCAAGATGTATTGAGTGGTGATTGGAAATCAAAGGTTGGGAACAAAGAGGAAGGTTCAGTAGTTGGAAAATATGGCCGTGGTCATATTTTGAAATGATGCTGGAGATCACATGATAGAATTCTGCAAAATCAATGATTTGTTCATTTCAAATACCTTCTTTAGACAGCATAAGAGAGAGCATAAGACACATGGACCTCACCAGATGGAATACACAGAAATCAAATTGACTGCATCTGCGGAAAGAGATGAAGGAAAAGCTCCATATCACCAGCCAAAACAAGGCCAGGGGCAGGCTGTGGAACAGACCATCAATTACTCATAGGTAAATTCAAACTGAAGCTGAAGAAAATGAAAACAAGTCCATGAGAGCCAAAATATGACCTTGAATATATCCCACTTGAATTTAGCGATCATCTGAAGAACAGATTTGATACATTAAACACTAAAGACGGAAGACCAGAAGAGTTGTGGGATGAGATCAAGAACATCATACATGAAGAAAGCAAAAAGTCATTAAGAAGACAAGAAAGAAGGAAAAGATAAAAATGGATGTCAGAAGAGATACTGAAACTTGCTCTCCAGAGATGCTAAAGTAAATAGAGGAAATGAGGAGGTCCAAGAGCTGAACAGAAAATTTCAAAGGTCAGCTTGAGAAGACAAAGTCAAATATTATAACAAAATGTGCAAAGATCTGGAGTCAGAAAACCAAAAGGGAAGAACATGCTCAGCATTTCTCAAGTTGGGGGAACTGAAGAAAAAAATTCAAGCCTCGACTTTTGTTATTGAAGGATTCTCTGAGCAAATTACTGAATGATGCAGAAAGCATCAAAAGAACATGGAAGGAATACACAGAGTCATTGTACCAAAAGGAAATGGTTGATGTTCAACCGTTTCAAGAGGTAGCATATGATCAAGAGCCAATGATACTGAAGGAAGAAGTCTAAGGTGAATTGAAGGAATTGGCAAAGAACAAGGCACCAGGAACTGATGGAATAAAAAATTGATACTGCAGGCACTCACTCATCTATGCCAAGAAATTTGGAAGACAACTAACTGGCCAACAGATTTGAAGAGATCCGTATTTGTGCTCATTCCAAAGAGAGGTGACCCAACAGAATGAGGAAATCATCAGACAATATCTTTGATATCCCATGCAAGTAAAGTTTTACTACAGATAACACAGAAATGGCTGCAAGCATACATTGACAGAGAACTTCCAGAGGTTCAAGCCGTATTCAAACAAGTGAAATCACTGCTGATGTCTGATGGATCTTGGCTGAAAGCAGAGAATACCAGAAAGATGTTTACCTACACTTTATTGACTATGCAAAGGCTTTCAATTGTGTGGATCATGACAACCTGTGGTCAATGTTGCAGAGAGTGAGTATTCCAGAACACTTAACTGTGCTCATGAGGAATCTGTACCTGGACCAAGAGACAGTAGCTCAAACAGAACATGAGAACACTGAATGGTTTAAAAATATGAAAGGTATACATCAGGCTTGTATTCTTTCACCATACTTATTCAACCTGTATACTGAGCAAATAATCCAAGAAGCTGGGTTGGATGAAGAAAAACTGACATCAGGATTGGAGGAAGACTAATTAACAACCTGCAATATGCAGATAATACAACCTTGCTTGCTGACAGTGAAGTGGTCTTAAAATACTGATGAACATGAAAGACCACAGCCTTCGGTATGGATTGCATCTCAATGTAAAGAAAACAAAACTCCTCACCACTGGACCAATAAACAACATTCTTATCAACCGAGAAAAGATTCAAGTTGTCAAGGACTTCATTCTTCTTGGATCAACCGTCAACCCTCACGGAAGCAGCAGTCAAGAAATCAAACAACGTATTGCATTAGACAAACACTTTTTAAAGTGTTGAAGAGCAAAGATGTCACCTTGAGAACTAAGGTGTGCCTGACCCAAGCCATGGTATTTTCAATTACCTCATATGCATGCAAAAGCTGGACAGTGAATAAGGAAGACCATAAAAGAATTGATGCTTTTGGGTTATGGTGTTGGAGGAGAATATTGAAAGTGCCATAGGCTGCCAAAAGAACCAACAGATCTGTGTTGGAAGAAGTACAGCCAGAGTGCTCCTTGGAGACCAGGATGGCCAAACTTCATCTCTCTTACTTTGGACATATTGTCAGGAGGGATAAGTTGCTGGAGAAGGATATCATGTTTTAGTAAGGTGGAAGGTCATAGAAAACGAGGAAGACCCGCAGCAAGATGGATTGCCAAAGTGGCAGCATCAATGGGCTAAATTGTGGCAACAATTGTGAGGTTGACCCAGGACTGGGCAGTGTTTCGTTCTGTTGTGCATAGGGTTGCTATGAGTTGGTACCAACTTGATGGCACCTAAGAACAACAACATGGGTAGGAATTGACTCAATGGCACTTAACAACAATACATATTACCACTGTGCAGCTATGACTTAGAAAGAAATAGAATGCTTGTTAAGGATCTAAGAATATGATTTCAAAAACAGAGTGAGGTTAATTCAGAGCCTTTGGCAATTAGTCATTTTGATAAAATAAACATAGCAGCCTTTACCTTACTACTGACTACATATGTCCATATTTGGCAATGGGCCTGTAGCAAACAATTTTGCCTACCTGTAAAGAACTAGCTTCAAAGAGCTCTGTTCACATGTTGGGTCAAAGATTAATACACAGGTATTAATATATTTGAAGGAAGATTATTAAAGATCTGACTATTTTTGACTTATGGGAAGTAAACAGCACAGGTAGAATTTTTATGTCTCTGAGAGTCAGGTAAAGAGCCCTGGTAGTGTACTGGGTTATGCACTGGGCTGCTAACCTCAAGGTCAGCAGTTTGAATACAGCCAATCCATGGGAGAAAGCCGAGACTTTGTGCTCCTTGCCAAGGTTTTGTTATTATTAATGTTAAGTGTCCTAGTGTTGGCTCTGATTCATAGAGACCCTGTATAGGGTTTCTGAGGAGCGGCTGGTGAGTTTGAACCACTGACCTTACTGTTCAAACCAACCTTGCGGTCCAGTGCTTTATCCTACAGCACCACACCAGGACTCCAGTCATCACATTGTTATTGTTAAGTGCTGTAGATGGATGAGTTCATTAAATGTTCGACTAAATATAGCAGGCTAATTTTTAAGTTGTTAGTTTTGTATGACCCGTGAATAATGTTATAAATGTTGGCAGTAAAGGGGTCACTATGAGTTAGAACCGACTTAATAGCATGCAGCAGCAGCAGCAGCAGCAGCAGCAGAGAATCAGGTAATAGCTCTACTTGGGTAATATTTTAGGATGATTTTGATGGACTGACCCCTTTACATTATGTCAAGTTTCTAGGATGTTTAGGGAGAGGTAACCACAAGGTTAGCTGTTCAAATCTACCAGCTGCTCCTCAGAAACCCTATACAGGGTCACTATGAGTCAGAACTGACTAGATGCACTGAGCAGCAACAGATGGTACTCTACAGATGAGCATATTCCCTTAAAAAAATTAAAGCATATGTGTGAGATTGTTGAGGGGTTCACTAGAATTTCAGAAAATTTCATTGTACTAGTTTCTAAAGCCACTCAAAGCTATATATTTATTCATTGATGGGTTAGGAAAGTTGAGTTTATAATCTGTGTTATATGTACATATATAAGCATGCATGTGGTAATGGAAACTGACTAGGGGAAAAGGAGGATAAGGAAGAAGGGGGAGAGGAATAAAGGCAAATTGAACTATGGAATGAAGTTAAAAAAAAAAAAAGTCACTTAGTTCATATTCTAAAATGACTAGATTAGTTGGGCCAAATTCTCAAAGCCTTGCTCAGTGATGCTGCTATCAGCAGCAAAGAATTAGTTCATCTTTGGCAAGGTGGTGGGACAGGCAAGTGGTTTGTGGAAGAAAGGAAAGTAGAAAACATAAATATTGGTCCTGGTATGAACTCTGGCTGTGGGAGAGTGGGGAAATTTAATAGTTTCCATGGAGTCTAGTCACCTTAAGACATAGGGTTTATGATAGAAGACGAGTAAGTTGTCTTTGAAGTTGAAATAACAACTTCATAACCACAGTAATCAGACCCTTTGAGAATGAGTACGAGTATGTCCAGCTATTGGGCCTACTCTTAAAGATAAAGTCTCTGAGGAAAGGTGAGCTGAATGGTTGCTATGGAAACCGGATAGGAGGATTGGTCCACTTAACTGTCCCCATAGTAACTAAGCTCCTGGAGAGATATAGAAGAATTAGTTATCTTAACACACTACTATTATCCCCATGGTAACCAAGCTTTAAATGTGAGGTCAGCCTCAAGGCATAAACCTAGAAAAATCTTTGCTCCCTAGAGCAAAGGTGGGAAGGAGATTATCATACCTCACAGATCCCACACAAGCTTGAGTTCCTTGAGGTTCTGTGGTGTGCATGTGTGTGTTAGGGAGAGAGAGAGACAATTGCGTCTATGAGATTTCTCCTTGCCCCCAACTCAAATGTGCCCAACTCACTCATGGGTTGAAGTGGATGGTGCAGCTGGGCAGGGCTCCCCTTCCGGCTACACATTACCATTCTGGTGTAGGGTGCGCCGTCGCTGGCTGGACTGCATGCTCAGGACGAGGTACTGCCTCATAAACTCACTGAACCGCTTCTGATTGGCCAGCTTCCGGGCTGATTTCCGGGCTCCGGTGAAGCCCCCGAACCTCTTCTGTAGCTGCTTCTGCTCCATCTCTCCAGCATCATCCATGCCAGGCTGTGTGTTCTCCTGTTCTTGGAATATGCTCCTGGTGCGGGGCATTCGCTTCAGATTCTGCATCTCAGATGCTTTTGGCTGGTAAAGAGCAGCAGTTGCATGTTCTGGGTCAGTAGGGCTGAGCTGCCAGGATCTCCTGGTCAGGACCTTGGTGCATGGAGTTAGGAGAGGGCTTGGGAAAACATTCTCTTCACATTCAAGGATGCACATCTGTAAAAGAGAGTTGAAAAGAAGGGAAAAGAAACAGGAACCTCTGTTAGTCCAAAGCAATGCAGGAGATAAATCTCTCAGTAGTCTATAGTTAGACTAATGCAAGTGTTTCCAAAGTATATACTTAACAAGAATTTTAGAGTTGGAAAGAAACAGAGAAGCATATGGTCAAATACTGTCATTTTACAAATAGAGAAACTGTGTCTCAGGGAGGTGATGTTAATTTATCCGAGGTAACACAGCAAGTTGGTGCAGGATGAATTCACTAAAACCCACATAAGTTTACATCCTTAGATGAGTCTTTGGAGCCAAATATACTCAAGATGTTGTTGTTAAGTGCCTTCAAGTTGGTTCCGACTCCTAGTGACCCGTATAGGGTTTCCAAGGAGTGGCCGGTGAGCTTGAACCACTGATTTTGTGGTTTGAACTGATCTTACAGTCCAACACATTAACCCACAGCACCACACCAGGACACCATATCACTCATAAAGAACTTATTTTGTTCTCTTATCAGGCTTGAAGGAAGTCAGAGTAATTAAAAATATTGGGGGTTAAATCTGCATGTTTATTTTAAGGTCACCATGTAAGTAATATTTCTAGTGGTGTTAATTTTTCACCTGACACAAATTTAATCACCACATCTGTGCATCATTTATAGAAAACAGGATCAAGCCACTTCAGGATGTAGATAGGTTGGGGAAAAGATGCCAACCGACACAAATGAGGTAGACCCAAAAGACCCCTGAGAATTCTTGCTCAATGTCTTCATCACCACCAATTTCTAGCCTAGACCACCAGCCTCACCATGACATTTTTCCAGGCTTCATTCCTGAGTCTCATCTCCATTTTCTGGACTTAGCTAGATGAAAACCCCATCTCAACCTAACCTTGCCAATTACAAACCTGAGGATATCTTTAACTTCTCCTTCTCACTTCTCTATCCCCATCCAATTAGCATACATGTCTGCTTTCCCTCTGCCACCTGGTGTGGCATTGTGGGTTAATGCACTGGACTGCAAAGTCAGTTTGAACTGCAAGGGTGGCGGTTCAAGCTCACCAGCTGCTTCTTGGAAACCCTATACAGGGTCGGAACCGACTTGATGGTACTTAACAACAACAACCATCATCTTTGTAAGGCCTTCATTACCTCATGGGTTTCAGTGATCTCTCTTTATCTGATCTATATTTCTAATCTCTTTTATACTCCTGAGTACTCTTTTTGAGAGCTCTGGTAGCGTAGTGGTTACGAATCGGGCTGCGAACCTTAAGGTCAGCGGTTCGAAACTACCAGCTGCTCCGCGGGAGAAAGATCAGGCTTTCTACTCCCGTAAAGATTTACACCCTCGGAAACCCTGTACAGGGTCACTATGGGTCGAAACCGACTCGACGGCACTTAACAACAACAACAACTCTTTTTGAAGACCAACTCTAATTTCCTTGTCACCTTGCCCACACTGTCCAATATTTTGTCATTGTCCATATTAAAGGGTCCCTCCTAAGCAGAGTATTCAAGACCCTCCACCATCTGTTCTCAGCCTACAAATTCAGTCTGATTCCTGAGTTCTCCTCACATACCACCCTTCAGGCATATACGTCTAGTGCCTAAAACACCCCTAAACTCTTCTTCCGACTGCCAGACCTCTTCTCACTCTGTCCCCTCTGTTGGAATGACCTGCTTTCATCCAATTTTTGGAGCTGAGAGGCAACGCCTCTAAAGCACCTTCTTTAATCCCCCATTGAGAGTTGCATTTTACAACAAGCACTCCAGGTGATTCTGAGATGTGACTAAACTTTGAGAAATCCTGCTTTGGAACTTGCATATGGGACATGGTAGTCAGAGATAGCACTTCTTTAGAGGAAGATGGTTGGATCTGTACTTAGTCTGTTTCTGAAACACTTAAGAAAACCAGGTTGAATCCTATTTGGATCATTACAGCAGTGGTTCTCAACTGGGGACAATTTTTTGAGTATTTATTTTGCTTTTGAATTGTGGTAAAAATCTGTACAACAAAATGAACATCAATTCAACAGTGTTGCATGCATAATTCAGTGACATTGATGAAATTATTCAAGTTATGCAACCATTCTTGCTATCCTTTCTCAAATTATTCTACCACCATAAACATAAACCTGGTGTGGCGCTGTGGGCTAATATGCTGGACTGCAAAGTCAATTTGAACTGCAAGGTCAGTGGTTCAAGCTCACCAGTCACTCACTGGAAAACCTATACAGGGTCACTATGGGTCGGAAGTGACTTGACGTCACTTAACAACAACAACATGGGGCATTTGGCACTATCTGGAGACATTTTTGGTTATAATAACTGGGGGATAAGGGGCATGCTATTGGAATCTAGTGGGTAGAGGCCAAGGATGCTACTAAACATCAAATGCACATGACAATCCCCCTTCCTCCACAACAAAGAATTATACAGCCCAATATGTCAATAGTGGCAAGTTTGGAAACCTTATCTATTAAGGCAATGGGAAAGCATGGGCAGCTCTAGAAAAGTACATATAAGGGTAGAATTTTGGAGCTGGAATGGACCTTTGAACACACTTAGTCCAGTCCTCACAGGACAGGATCCCCAAAATGCTTGTTGAATGGTTCTGCTCCTTTCGTTTTACAGAAACAGGTGGGAAAGTTGTTAAACCTAAAGGCTATTAGATCTCATATGAGCCCCTGGGTTTCTAAGCCCAGATGGTAATTAGATTTTATGTCAATCATAGAGTATGAAATTCTATGATCAAACCAGATGCACAGCCTATATTCAAGCTTGACACACTGTTAGAAGAATTAGGTACTAACAAAAGCATCTCAACTCTTGGTTTAGGAGGTGGTTTTGGACGAATATGAGGACTTCAAATTCAAAACAGCATTTGTAACACCAGATGGCATATGAGCTTAATGCCCTACCCCCTGGTCAGAGGAACCAGCCAGCTTCTTTCAGAGATGGGTTAATGGCCTGTTAAGTGAACTGGACACATTTGCACAGCCCACACTGATGGCATTGCTATATTAAGCTAGTCTATGCATGAGCATCTGGAAAATCTCAGCTTGTTGCCAAATTGGTCTGAATGCTGGGCTTGTGGGGAAACTGAGCAATGGGATATTTGGATGTCTGGGATAAAATATTAGGACACAAAGTGGGAAACAGGCACATGACTCAGAAGGAAAAGAAGCTAATCAGATGGAGAAGTTTCTGCCACTAATGAGCCAAACCACTTGTGACCACGAGACATTTGGATGCTATTTCGTTTAGGAGGTTCTGCTAGAATATCTGAGGGATAACAGATGACAAGGAGGCCAGCAGGTGAGTAGGAGAGAAGAACACCTGTAATAAATCATTCTTAGGCAAATCAAGCGTTTAGCTTCTAACCAAAAGGTTGGCAGTTTGAACCTACCAGTTACTCTGCAAGAGAAAGATGTGGCAATCTGCCTCTGTAAAGACTGTAGTCTTGGAAACACTGTGGAGCAATTCTATCCTGTCCTGTAGGATTGCTGTGAGATGTAGTTGACTTGGTGCAATGGGTTTTGTTTTGCTTTTCTACAAATCAGCTATCAAGAGTTTTCGTTGAATGAAGCTAGGAAGAACTATTCGAAGGGTGTTTGTCTTAAATAGAATTTTTAAGTAAGTTTCCTTAGACATTTCTTGGGTGTTACGTTCTAGTTTGTCTCCAGAATAACTCCTTGAATCTAGTTTCTTCCACTTGAGTTGATGGTAACTGGTTGGTTCATTGGGCCTCCATGTTCTTAGTATAAGACAACCCAAGGCCATGGCGGGAAGGCAACTAACTAGTGCTTCCCAATCAGATGTGATATTTCTTACAAATCACCACCTACTTAGGCATTGTTACTTACTTTGTAAAAAAATACGTTAGAGCAGATTCAAGGATATCTCTGTGATAAACTCCTAATACTTTTTTGAGTGGAGATAAAAGGTTACAATGAAAGCTATTGATTCAGGAATGATGCGTAACCTTCGATTGCATCTATGCTACAACATAACATTGACAGTGTGGTAATGACCACACAATGGCTTAATCAACCCCCTAACTGGTTTACATGCAAACTAGTTGTTTGCTCTGCTTACTTAGAATAAGAGAAAGTGTTTTTGGATGAACTTTTAAACACTTTGGGCTAATCTGAAGAGGTACCAAGAAATAGCTTTGGGCTTCTACATAGAAAGGGCATGTGGGGCCTTCTGTGCTCTGGCCAAGCTCAGTTTTCTCAGGTCTTTAAATGCCACTCATTCTTCTTTTAAATAGCTCTGGTAGCATAGTGGTTATGAGTCGGGCTGCTAACCTCAAGGTCAACAGTTCAAAAATACCAGCAGTTCCTCCTCGGGAGAAAGATGAGGATTCCTACTCCCATAAAGATTTACAGCCTCAGAAACCCTATGCAGGAACTGTCTCCATAGCACATAACCACTACCACCATTCTCTCTTATGATGCACAAGTCTCCCAGCCCCTGCCCCTCCTTCATTTTCTTTCCTCTTCAGTCCATTTATAGACCCCAGTTCCTTTGCCCTTTTAGACCAATTGGGGCCCACTGCTCTGTGCCTCCCCATTGCCTTTGATTATTGTAGCCCGAGGAACTGTGTGTTCTTCTCTCCTGTGAGCTGCAAGCTCCACCCATCTGCCCATCTTTGGATCTCTAAGGCTGACACAAAGCTCAGCACACAGTGAAACAAAAACCAAACAAACCAGTTGTGATCAAGTTGGTCCCAACTCACGGTGACCCCACGGGTGCAGAGTAGAACTGTACTCCATAGGACTTTCATGCCTTTCTTCCAAGGTGCCTCTGGGTGGGTTTGAACTGCCAAATTTTCAGATGGGAGTTGAGTGCTTAAGTGTTCATTCCAGCCAGGGACTCCCATAGTAGGTGCTCACAAAAGAAACATGATGAATGACTAAGATGAATGAATAAACTTTGAATGGGTTACTGGGGATGCTTTTAATGTTCAGAAAACAGGCTGAAAAAGCACCGATCTGGGTATGAAGAGTTCGGTGTCCCTGGGTTTATTGGGGCAGTATGTGCTCATTTGGAGTCCTGATATGGTGCTGTCAGTTACTGGACTGCACTGGACTACAGGGTGGGTTTGAACCGCAAGATTGGTGGTTCAAGCTCACTAGCTGCTCCTCGGAAACCCTATACAGGGTTGCTATGAGTTAGAATCCACTTGACGGCACTTAACAACAACATCATCTGCTCATTTGCTACTTGGATGCCTTAATAACAACACCTACTATTTTTTAAAGGTTAAGAGTTTGAAATATGGAATCTTTTGAAAGAAGTCTGTTTAACTAACAAGGCAAAATATTAGATTTAATAGGAGAATGATTATGTAGACAAAAATGAAAGTATTTGGCAAAGGAGTTTATTTAATGAATAAAAATTTAATAACAGATTTGCACTCAAATTGAAAACTTAAAATATAAGAAGTACATAGATGTTATTTGTAAAATTAATTATAGTGTCAAAAATGGAAGACATTACTAACACTAAAGAGTCCTGGTGTGATGTTGTGGGATAAAGCACTGGACTGCAAAGTTGGTTTGAACCACAAGGTTGGTGGTTCAAACTTATCAGCTGCTCCTTGGAAACTCTATACATGGTTGCTATGAGTCGGAACCAACTCGACAACACTTAACAACAACAGCAAGCACTAACACTAATGGGCTTGTTAAAATAAACTATTTTCATAGAAAGAAATATTTAAAAATAATACTTAATAGCATGGAAAAAGGATGCTGGCACATGTGAAAAAGGTAGGTTTTTTTTTTTTTTTTTTGACTGGTGGCAGAGGTGATTACCCAATAAGCAAGATAAACATTTGTGCTCCACAAGTAAGTTCATGCTTACCTTGTTTACTGGGTAATGTGACACTGTTGGTGGGATTAATATTTTTAAAAACACTTCTCTGAATTTGTCAGATTTTCCAAAATAAGTATGCCTTATTTCCATAGAACAAAATAGTAATACGGACACGTCTGTGTTTGTAATCAAGTGGAAAGATCATAGGGTTTGTGGTCAGGAGATGTGCAGTCCATTACTAATCACTTTCCTTCTGATCATGTGACACTGAAAAAGTCACATGACATCTCAGCAAGGCCTTACACATTCAGTCTGTGTGGCATTGTAGGATGAACACTGGACTTCAAGGTCAGTTTGAGCTGCAAGGTCGGGCTGTTCAAATCCACCGGCCGCTCAAATCCACCAGCCATTCTTTGGAAAACCTATACAGGGTCATTATGAGTTGGAGTTGGAACCAACTCAGTAGCACTTGACGACAACAACAACTGGAGGAAGAGAATGGAGATGAACAGGTTTCCTGAACTTACCTCTAGGTTGAAGCTGTCCAGGGCTGGATGGAGCCTCTCTCTGCAGGTCAGACAGTCCCTCTGACAACTGCTGAACACGCTGGAGAAGAGGCTGAGCAGCAGGAGGTCACAGATCAGGATTTTCATGGTGCAGGAGCAGGAAGCAAGATGCTAAAATGCAAAAGAGGGTGCGGTGGCCATTAAGAGAGCTGTTTTGTGAGGGGTGGTCAGGACTGGAGACTTTATCCAGGGAGCTGCTACAGGAAAGGAAGTCTTCTGAGAGAACAGTATGCATAAGGGTTTGAGATTGGCCTCCTGGGAGGGAGTGGATTGCCAAGGGCACAGGTGACCCCCTTCCTGTTTGTCAGGCCCTGAGTTGAATCTAAGGTATGGCAAGTATGGCAGAGGCCCTGGGCAACACTTGAAATGGGATGCCAATGAATCGTTTCTATTTGCCATCACACTTTCCATGACCAGCTGTGAGAGATCATTCAGCAATTTAAAACGAACTGCTATAGGCGCTAATTCCCATAGATGAAGATATGTTCATGTGTGAGCTAGTGTCTGGTTTCCTGAAGGCAGTAGTACTCCTGTGATTCCTGCCTCTGAGCTGGCCTCAACACCATACAAGAACTTTCTGGAGCAACTGTGGTGTGGAGACAGAACTTTCCTGTCTCTAGGAGAAAAGGCAGTTTTATAAAGGAACCCTGGTGGTGTAGTGGTTAAGTGCTTGCCTGCTAACCAAAAATCTGGTGGTTTGAGCCCATCCAGTAGTTCCACAGGAAAAAGACCTAGCAGTCTCTTCCTGGAAAGATTACAGTCTAGAAAACATTATGGGACAGTTCTTCTCTGTCATACCGTGTCGATATGAGTGGAAATAAATTTAACAATAAAGGTGTTCCTTTACATTTGACCAGTCTCTCCAAAGCTCAGTTTCTGTAGCTATAAAATGGGAATATCTACTTTGTCATAAGATTTGCCATATTAGATGAGATATGTGAGGGAACTTTTTCAAAGTTTGCCATGTGGGATTGTGTAAAAGGAATAAAAAACCGTTCTAACATAACCATTCCACTGGTTAGTTAGAGCAATAGATTACCATCTTTATGAAGTAGTAATTACAAGCTATGCAGTTCTTCTCTTTCTCTCCAGAATTTATCTTTTAATGAAGACTCCTGAATCAGAAAACTATTTCCTTGAACTTCCATCAGCTGGGGTCCCAGGCAATCTGGTCTCGTAAAGATGACAACCTCGGAAACCATATGGGACAATTCTACTCTGTCCTATGGGTTGCTATGAGTTGAAATTGACTTGACAGTACACAACAACAACAACAAAAGAACCACCTTTAGTTGGAAGATTAAATGGACAGGGTTACAGGTAATTTTGGTAATTGTGGAAATGTTGATTGGGGTGTAGATTATAGAGGTGTGTGTATACATTTGTCAAAACTCATTGTAAGTTTAAACTCTGTGAATTTCACCTCAATAAAGAGTTCAGTGTGGGGAAACAAAAGCAATTGTCTTTACTGCTTTTTCATCAGACTATATTGAGAAAGTTTGTAATGCTCTTCAAATGTAGTCTGCAGACCACAGCATCGGTATCACCTGTGATCATGTTAGAAAAGCAGAATCAGGAGCTTCACCCAGAAACACTGAATTGGCATCTACATTTTCAGCAGATTCCCAGGTGATTCATATGTACACTAAAGCACTGGTATCAGGAAGATGTGAAATGTAGGTGACAGGAGAAGGGAGAGGATTCTGCAGGTCATGTGACCCAATGGCTATGTTGGGAGACCACCTAGCTCTTGTGCATCATCAAAGCATTTCATACTAAGAGGATGTCAACTGTACAGGTACTCAATAAATGTTTGTCATATAACTGAGTGCTATTTGAGGTGCATTTTGAGAAATCATTAAGTTTGCCTAGAGGACAGAGAAGACGGATACAGGAACAATATTTTCAAAGATATAAAGGAGTTGGGACCATAGCTTGGAAAGGGATGGTGAGTAGACTGCTGTGGTGGGACCACCTGTTCACACTTCTTTAGGTAAGCAATCAGCTGAAAGGGAGGCTGTGCTCGTTAGGTGAGAGAACAGCTTTTTTTTTTTTAATTGTGAACTGAGTGATAGTTTACATGGGAGAACATTGGCTTTACACCATAGTTTCATCACAATGATTACAATCTCCTCCATGTACCATCATTCAACAATTATTTGCTTCGATTCCCTCTGGTTTTTGTTTGTTTTTGTGTGGTGGGGGTTATACACAAAAACACTCAAGAATACATAATAATATAAACAACTAAAGGGCACATTCTGCAAGCCTGCTTCCTGGCTGCCAACACTCAGTCCCTCTCTTTCCATGAGTCTAGAGTGCTCAGTGGCTCCCTCTCCCCATGTCCTCATCTTTGCCTCCATCTCTGGTGTTGCTGCTTCTCTGGATAGGGTCCCACATTCCACTTGAG